TCCTCACTCCATCAGTACCCTAAGCTCACCCTAAGATCCTCTAAGTCTTTCTCTGCTTTAAGGCTGTTTATTTCCTACTGTGTATGTGTGTGCATATGTATGTTCTTGTGTCCAGAGGTCAGCTATTGATACTGAGTATCTTCCTCAGTCAATATCCACCTTATTTTTTAAAACCTTTTTCCTTTATTGGGACTGGAGAGGTGGCTCAGCAGTTAAGAACACTGGCTACTCTTGCAGAGGATCCGGGTTTGAATTCCAGCACCCGCATGGTGGCTAACAACTATATGTAACTCCAGTTCCAGGGAATCCAAAGCCCACGTCTGTCCTCTGTGAACATTGTACAACGCTGGTGTGCTTACATACACGCAGGCATAACACTCATACGCATAAAAAAAAATAAATTTTTTTTCATTTATTTTTATTTTATGTGGGTATTTTTGCCTGCATATATGTAGGTGTACCTGTGTGTGCAATGACTGTGGTGGCCAGAAGAGGACATCAGATCCCCTGGAACTGGAGTTTCAGATTATTGTTAGCTGCCCTGGGGGTGCTGGGAACTGAACCTGGGTCCTGTGCAAGAGCAGTTATTGCTCTTAGTCACCAAGCCAGCTCTCCAACTCTCACCTCATTTTTAAAACCAAAATTTACTTCTTTATTTTGTGTGTATAAATGGGTTTACATGTATGTGTGTGTGCCATGGTGGGAGTGTGGAGGTCAGAGGACAACTCTAAGGATTCTATTCTCCCCTGACACCCTGTGGGGTCTGGGCATTGAACGGAGATCCTCAGGCCTGTACACAAGTACCTTTACCTGCTGAGCCATCTCAATTGCACTCTCTCCACCTTAATTTTTGAGACAGGGCCTCTCACTGAACTTAGAGCTTACCCACTGGGCTAGGCAGGCTGGCTGAAGAGCTCCAGGGACCTGCCTGTGCCCTGACCTAGCTTTTTTTTTTTTTCTTGAGACAGGGTCTTACTGTAGCCACAGTTGACCTGGAACTTGCTATGTAGACTAGGCGGGCCTCGATCTCACAGAGATCTACCTGCTTCTGATATAAAAGGTATGTGTTGCCATGCTAGCTCATGCCTAGCTTTTTTTGATGGTGGTGCTGCAGATCTGAACCTGGGTTCTCAAGCTTGTGCAGCAAGAACTTTATTGACTGAACTACTTCTCCTGACACTACCCCCTACCTTAGAGACAGGATCTTGTGATGTAGCCTAGGCTGGTCTTGAACTCAAGATCCTCATTCTCAGCCTATAGGCATGTACCAGCACACCTAGTTGCTCTGTGGCTTTCTTATAAGAGGCTTTCTTTAGCCTAGAACAAAATCCAGCCTGGAACACAGCCTCTGCTTGTACAAGTTCAAAAGCTCTGTCTTCCAGGAAGCCTTCTTGTCTTCTGCCCCAGCAGATCCAACCCCCTTTAGGCCCTACTTATACCTTCTTTTTCTTCCTAGGTTTTATGACAGCTGTAAGTGTACTTTCCTTCATGAAATTATTTTATTCATATCTGCTGCCTCATCAGAAAACACTTGAGAGGACAACCCCACTCTAAGTGCTATCAGAGTTCATTTGGGACATAGTAAGACATGACATACAGCAGATGCTCAATAAATATGAGTAACAGGGCCTTGAGAATTGTCACCTGAAAGTACTTACTCCTTAAACACCTGCTCCTAAGCCAGGGGTTGTAGAGCATGCCTTTAATCCCAGTACTTGGGAGGCAGAGGCAGGTAGATCTCTGTGAGATTGAGGCTAGCCTGGTCTACATAGTGAGTTCCTGGCCAACTGGGGCTATAGGGAGACCCTGTCTCAAAAACCCCCCAAATCAAAACATTCCCCCAAGCAAAAACAAAACAATAACAAAAGACACACAAAAACCAAAACCCAAAATCCAAAACCCACCAACCACACAAAAATCCCACTCCTGGTCTGAGAGATGGCTCAGCTGGTAAAAGAGCTTGGGCTTGCCACCTCCTTACCCCTGATGACCTGAGTTGGATCCTTGGGACCCACATGGTAGAACGAGACCAACTCCGACTTCCAAAAGTTGTTCTCTGACTTCACATGTATCCCCCACTGAGAGAGAGAGAGAGAGAGAGAGAGAGAGAGAGAGAGAGAGAGAGAATGAAGAAAAAC